GTTTCTTCCATGAGAGGCAAATAAGACAACACCCTAAAAGTATTCGCCAAGCCCCAGTGAGCTTCTGGCATGAAGACTGAGGTGAGCACTTGAGGTCAGCCACGGGATGCTCAAGGAACAAGGGTCTCAGCTGAGATCCCACAAAGCCAGCTCCCTCCTAGCATCAGTGATATCTGCTAGTGTGGGCTAAGTACTGAATAAACCACTGAACTAAACACAAGTTTGCCTTTCTCCATCTTGACCCTGGTGGAAGAAATGTCATTTTTCACTTAAAAATGTTGAACAAGTTGTCCTTGCATAGGTTTCTATGTATACTGTTTGTGTGGCCTATCATTTTCAGTGCTCCTTAATCTGTCATAATTCCAGATGACTAGCAGACATGACCTCAGAACTCTGCAAGAGTAAACTTCCGTCCAGGTGTCAAAGTACTCCCACAGGTGAGGTGATGTAGAGACTGAGCTCGCAGCTAAAGCCATAAACCCAAGTAGGAAGTGACTGATGCAGCCAAGATAGGAAAGTTAGTAAGGTAATGCTGTGAACATCCTTAACCAGTAAAATTGAAAGCCTCCCCAAATAATTTACCCAAACCCTGCAATCAGGAGAAATGGAAAGATGAGTTAGTTCTGTGACCTGATTGTGGTTTCAAATCTGGGGCCGTCCTCTTTGTACAAGGGTCTGTGGTCCACCCCTGCTCCACACACCATCGGTTCTTTGCTTGGAGCAAGGTCTGTTCATAAGATTGACTTGGAAGAATAAAGGAAGACAGACAGCCTGAGGAAACCGAAGAAGTGCTTGGAAGAGAGACTGTCCTCCGTATCAACAGGAAGTCTAACTGAAAGTGGTGTACAGCCCGTGGATAGGCAGTGGGCGGGTAGATCATCAGAAATGGGCGCCGCTGCTGAAGGAAGTTCAGGCTGCAGTAAAGTCGGTGTCAGTCATGGTGATGGGGTGGGTTGTGGGGTGGAGTGGGTGGAGATGAGCTAGAAGACTGAATGATGCTGGGACAACTGCATAGAAGTCCTTAAGTGGCTGTACAGGAAAAGGGAAATTGGACCTGTTCCTCATACTATATGCCAGGATAATTTCCAGATTGGCCAGAGATTTGATTATACAACGCTAACTGTGGTGGTATTTTGTTCCCCAAAATATTGTACACCCTAATAAATTTATCTGGGGTCAGAGAACAGAACAGCCACTAGATATAGAGGCCAGAAAATGGTGGCACACACGCCTTTAATCCTATCACTTGGGAGGCAGAGATCATTTGGATCTCTGTGAGTTTAAAGCTCACGCCTTTAATCCCAAGAAGGAAGCCTTTAATCCCAGGAAGTGAGAGCAGAAAGCAGAAAGGTATATAAAGCGTGAAGACCAGGAACTAGGCTGGTTAAGCTTTTAGGCTTCTAGCAGTTCAGCTGAGATTCATTCTGGATGAGGACACAGAGGCTTCCAACCTGAATAGGATCAGCTGAGGAATTGGCAAGGCAAGGTAGCTGTGGCTTGTTCTGCTTCTCTAATCTTCCACCATTCACCCCAATACCCAGCTCTGGGTTTGATCTTATTAATAAGAACTTTTAAGATTCACGTTACAGCTAACTATACAGTTACTGGGGAAAATAACAGGAGTCAGCAAGGTGTGGCTGATGGTCTACACTTTGCCCAGTGCTCATCTCAAGGCTGCTAGGAGCTGCAGTGTTTGTTTTAGGTTATTTTTTTTTTTTGTTATTTTGTTATTTTTTCTTATTTTGTTAGGTTATTATTATTTTGTTTTAGGTTATATTTTTATAATTCAGTAAGAAAGGAAAGAGCATGAGATAGAGATGTTCTGTGGTTGCAAGTCCAAAATACTAAGACTTTTTTTTTCATAGGGAAGTTGGCCCTGTCTGTGACCCGGAAGGGTGCAAGCTTCCCAGGGATGCTGTTCAGCTGCCAGGTTATGATGGGGTGGTCAGCTGGGTCAGCCCTGCTCTTTGTTCCTCGCTCTCCTTGGACCAGCAGGAAAACATCAACTGCCTTTGTTGGAGAGGATTCTAAGTTCATATGGCAAAGGGTGGGGATGCAGGGAGAGCGAGGAATTAGAGATGTGAATCCTCCTCCCTGCCTCTTGAAATCCATAGAAAACAACTAAAGTTTTTGCATGCACTTAGGCCATAAGCAAACAAAAATGCAATAACTGGGATGCACGTTTGTAATTTACATCACTGATTATGGCTAAACTCAATGTATAAGGAACTTTTAAAAACAAGATATTCCACAGAAGAATGGGGAATAAATATGAACAGCCTGCTCATTTTTTTTAAGTGAAAATAGCTTTTAAACATTTGAAGAGATGCTCAGATTTCCATACAGCCAGATGACAATGAGCAATCCCTCCCCCACCCCCCATCCCTGTTTTAAAAGTGAAGGGAACCGAGTCCTAGGAGGTAGAGTAGTCTTCTGGATACCAGTAGTGAGCAGTGGAGCTAGGCTGAGTCCAGCCAGATGGCTGTAGATAAGAGTAATTCACCATGACTAAGTGACGCTTATTTCAGGAATACAAGGATCATTTAATACTAGGAATAGCTGGGTGTCTCCTTCATATGATAAAATATATTTATCTCAATCTGAAGCCAGCGTCGTGCTTAATTGAGAATACCAGAAGCAATTTCATTAAAGCCAGGAACAAGACAAAGATGTCTACTAATCATCACTATTATTTAAAATTGTTCCACAGGATGTAGACAAAACAATTAGACAAGAGAAGGAAATTAAAGACAGAAATTAGAAGGGAAGAGAAGATAAAGTTCTAAGTCTCAAGTGAAATGATTGGATTGTTTACCTAGAAACAGAAGAGGGCTAACCAAAGACAAACAAAGTAATTTATAAAATTAATTTTCAGAAAACAATCATCTTTATATACATGGTACCCAATTTCATGCCCTAAGAGAAAAGAATTTTTACAATTGCAGCAGAAAACAAAAAATAAAGTATTAGGTATAAACTTATTTACAGAAAGAATTTAAGTACCAGTGAGGGACCAAACAGGATCCAATGAAAATAAGATGATGTTCTTTCATAGGAATGATGAACATCATGAAGCTTTCACTTCCCCATGTTTAATCTGTCAATTCAGTGTGATATCCAGGGTTGGAGAGTTGGCCCAGCACTTAGGAGCACTTGCTGTTCTTCCAGAGGATCCAAGTTCAGTTCCTAGCACTGCATTATGCAGCTCATGACCACCTGTAAGCTCAGCTCACAGGGATCTAGTGCCTGCTTCTAGCCTCTGTAGGCATCCATGTGTGTGTGTACCTACACACATAAATACAAAATAAGAATCTTTTTTTTATTTTTTATTTATTTATTTATTTTGTTTTTGGTTTTTGGTTTTTTGAGACAGGGTTTCTCTTGTGTAGCTTTGCGCTTTTCCTGGAACTCACTTGGTAACCCAGGCTGGCCTCGAACTCACAGAGATCCGCGTGGCTCTGCCTTCCGAGTGCTGGGATTAAAGGCGTGCGCCACCACCGCCCGGCTAAGAATAAATCTTAATATGATATCCATGAAGCATACTAGTAGGCTTTTTAAAAATAAGATTTCATAAGCTAGTTTTAAAATTCACAGAGAGCCAGACTATGGTGGTGCACACCTTTAATTCCGGCAGTCAGGAGGCAAAGGCAGGAGCATCTCTGTGAGTTCGAGGCCAGCCTGGTCTACAGAGCAAGTTCCAGAACAGCCGGGGCTGCACAGAGAAACCCTATCTTTTTTTGTTTTGTTTTGTTTTTCGAGACAGGGTTTCTCGGTGTAGCTTTGCGCCTTTCCTGGAACTCACTTTGGAGACCAGGCTGGCCTCGAACTCACAGAGATCCGCGTGGCTCTGCCTCCCGAGTGCTGGGATTAAAGGCGTGCGCCACCACCGCCCGGCTCTGAGAAACCCTATCTTGAAAAAGAAAGTGATGAGAGAGACTCCACAGTAACATTTACATGTGTACAGTAGTTAGTGTGGCAATCATTTATTATAGAGACGGACCAGCACACGGGAGCTGAGGCTGTGATGAAGGAGGCTTTCAAGTCAGTGGGTGGGGACTGCTCCATAGTGTTCTGGAAAAAAAAAAAAGAGCAGGGCCATTCTTCTCTTCTCACACCGGGACACTGCACACAGTCCAGTGTGGAAAAGAGGGGTTATGTGGGTCTGTGTGTGTGGAAGCCAGAGGTCAGCCTCAGGTGCCTTATTTTCTGAGAGCGCTGCTCATTGGCCTGGAGAGTGCCAGGTATTTTTACATGGGTGCTGAGGACTGAACTGAGGACCTCCTGCTTGTGCGGTAAGCGCTTTACCAACTTAGCTAAAGATCCCTTTATAACTCGAGTGGGAAGGCCTTTCTAAGTATGAAGCAAAGCACAGAAGCTAGGAGAGATTTCTAGGTTTGGTTTTATAGATATAAAATTTTCTTGGACTAGAGAGACAGTCCAACAGTTAAGAGCACTTGTTCTTCCAGAGGACCTGGTTCAATTCCCAGCACCCACATGGCAGTTTACAACTGTCTGCAGCTCTAGTTTCAGGGAATCCAACACCTTCTAGTCTCCCTGGATACACAGGCATGCGCATAGTGTACAAACACACATATAGGCAAAACACCTATACACATAAAGTAATAAAATAAAACATAGCATAGTCTACATTATCTCTGCCATTTTCTGTTCTTGGGTTATTGATAGCATTCCAGTGGGCTTTAGTGTATTTTAAGTGTATTTCTCTATCTTGTTCAGTTCAACATTATAATCACAGTGGTTTGAATTCTCTCTGGGGGTAGTGGTGACTGAGTCCTCAATGAGTAGGCTGCTCACTAAGGACATTT